TTTTTCATCTTGCACTGATCAACCGAGGCAACGGGTACCAACGTTACTACCGAATAACTCGGTAGCGCATTGGCATACAAGCCTTCCCATTAGCCGGCCTTGGTTAGCAGCTTGCAGAGAATGGATTAGGTTCATCATCATTTCCCGTCGCAAAATTACCCTCCCCCCCTCCCTCCGCCTCCCCCGGTCCTCCTTGAGGAGTAAACTTTGCCGAGAGATTGTGACGCATATTCACTTTCTTATCAAGATGAATGTAACTGTCAACTTCTTCCAAGTCAACACTGTCTATCTGTAAACTTGCCGGAGGCGTCAGTGACTCTGCAGTGCCTTCATTTTTTCGATGCGTTGATTTTCACGTTCACTTCCTTACATCGTGGGCTGAGTTACAAGCAGCCTTTTGCCCATCTCTTCAAGCTAATTAAATCATTTCTTACAGCGAGTCCTACCTCCTGTCCCACACAGCATTTGGAGCATTTATATCTGTATGTAAGCCACTCGCGTGTATTCTTCCTGTGCTTATATTGCCTATTGCTGCTAATGATATGCAAGCGGCGTTTTTTTCAGTTTTCGCCAACTTTTTGCGGTTATCTGCGAGAATGGGAAGGGGGACCGGGAGGGGGGAGGGGGGAGTGTGGAAATTGGCCGTAAATTGGATATCACACAAAATCTTGTCGTAATTTCGTATAATTCCTTGTCAAGCCCTTTTTTTCCTCTACAGAGCTAAAAAAAAAAATGCAGGAAATGTACTTACACGCATAGACATACGACCACGGAACATTGCTGCTACGGTGAGATAACGCCCATGACGGGGATCACAAGCTGCCATCATATTTTTCGCATCGAACATCTGTAAAATTTTGCAACCATTGAAAAATTAAAATTGGGGAAAACGAAAATTTGGAAAAAATCTCTTTTTTTTTTACAAAAAATACCTGTTGAGTAAGTTCGGCAACGTTGAGGGCACGATAGGCAGCAGTACCACGAGCCGAGAGAGGGGCAAATCCGGGCATGAAGAAATGCAAACGTGGGAATGGTACCATATTCACGGCCAATTTTCGCAGGTCAGCATTTAGCTGTCCCGGGAAGCGCAAGCATGTTGTCACACCAGACATCGTTACAGATACTAAAAAAAAACTTAAATTATTTCTAAAACTGTAAAAAAAATCACATCTATAGACTTTTGTGTCACAAAAACTGCAGCTGGGGAATGGAACAACTGTCTTTTTTTTCCCTTCTTCAATGGAGGT